CATGTACTCAGACCAGTAATATTTGGGGTCACAAGTTTTTGCCATGGATATTTTGTGGGTCAGAAGACAAAAAGTTTGGGAACCACTGGTCCAGAGTATATTGCAGTACTTGTAATGGCAAAGACAGCTGTTTAATTACTTTATCAAACTAAAACCAAATAAAAAATCCTCTTCAATGACAAAGTAAAATCATTTTTTTACAAAGCAATGGCAATTTAAAATATAAACAAATGTAAAATAAGTGATTGTATTAATATTTGTTGACTTTAAAGTGACTGTTCTAATTCAATTCAAAGAAAAGATCATTGAAAAAATACAAGTCAGGGGATGGACACAAAAGGATTTCAAAGATCCAAGGAGTTCTGTCAAATCCATCATCAGGAAATGTAAGAAATATAAAATGTGTAAGAGCAGGACGTCCTCACAAACTGAGTGACTGTGCAAGAAAGGTAGTAAGAGAGACCACCAAGACACTTGTGACCACCCTGAAGGAGCTGCAATCTTGAGCAGATGAGACGGGAGAGACTGTGCATTTAAGATTTTTGTTTTTGAAAACTTTATAACTGCAGTATTACAGTAGATTGGTGAAATATAATAAGGCAGTCTTACTATAATGCAAATGCAGTTTTTGTTCCATTACTAAACATTCACAATGTGTAAATTAAATTTTCTGAGAATCTACATTAACACACAGCAAAATATTATTTCACAAATAGTTTTCAAGCCAACCAWTCAAACTCCTCTTTGATGTCAATGTCTAAAATAACCAGTGCATCACATACACCGCCAAAATTTAAACAGTTAATTTTGCAGACTGTAATGTTTAAAAAATAAAATTGAGTGAAAATAAACAAATACGTTTAGAAATATAATTAAAATTGCTTTCATATACCTTGGAAACAAATGCTTAGATTTGAAAAAGCACTTACTTGTTTGTATCAAGCTGAAGTCTGGTCATTTAGACAAAGTTTAGGAAGAGACATGTAAGAATGGCAGTGGGTCTACAGTTGGCTGACAGCAGATGAGTCTGAATTGCACCTGCAAGTCCTTTCTTCTGAATAAAAATACTGCTGCTCTTGGTTAACAGCAAATGTCATTGCTGGTGAACAGAAGAAATTGCGTCTAGACTTTTTGAGTAATTGAATTTGTAAAAGTCATCATTTTACCCTATAATGTGATATTCAATTTCAGAGAGGGTTGAAATCTACAAAGGGGTCGAACAGCTATGAAATTGCAACCAGAATAGATGAAAGACACACAGAAATGCACACGGTGCCATTAACCCAGCTTCCTATTTCATGTGGCTTCTGGCACTGCTGTTCTCGCCTCAGAGGAAGTTGTCATGTGAGAATATAAACCACAGAGGGCATTGTGTTACAAAGACAGAGTGGGAACACTTTCCGCACTTAGGCTGATATTCTAACAATGCCATGAAAAYGTGTCGGGATTCAAATTTCTTTACAGAAATTCTTAATGTAAAAATTAAATAAATGGCGTGTCATTGTCATCTAAAAAATTGTAGCTAGATTAGCGGAGAGTAGAAAATACTGAATTCATGCTGTCACGAATATTATCAGAATTTAGAAGAAATGCTAACAAAGGGCTGAGGTTTTACAAACACACATTATGTTAAATGCAACGTTGAAGACATAGCAAATCAGAGAAAAAAAGTTGTGGAAAGAATATTTCAGTATTTAGTTTGTAATACATGTACACAAATTGAAAGCTCTATAACAGAAGAAGTCTAATGGCTGGACTATGCAGAACAGAAAGACCGGTGAAACTCAATATCATAAGCGAAACACAGGTTGATTTTGTAGCATAAAACTGTGAAGCTTTTGTTTGAGAAAAGGTGGATGTACTGTATATTATCATATGTTAACAATGTCAATAATACTTTTCTGTTGCAATTTTATTACAATAAATACAAAAAGATAATTAAAAAATCAATTAAAATGGCCTAATTTGCATGTAGTAAGACATCACCGGAAGCCTTTGAATTAAGCTAATACTATATACCACAATATAATTAGAGGACATTTTAACACTAATTAAAACTGGATGTCATCTAAACCCACAGACAAAAAATAAATAAATAAAAAAAAACTAATTTGAATTCATTACTCTATGCATAGCAAATGTGCATTTGATCTTGGCCTTTTATCTCCACACAAGCAAGGGTTTTGTTAAGTTACATGGAAACAAAACACAGAAGGAACATCCGAATAACGATGACTGATAATTAGATTTTATAAAACATATTGTGAATTTATAATTTTTGTCATATATCAAAACTCACCTTTTTGACTGTCAATGACAAAATTGCCTTCTTCATTTCCTGTGGTAATTTTATATGTGATCCCATCTCCATCAGGGTCCTTTGCCAGCACAGTGGCAACAAGTGTGTTAGGGCCTGCATCTTCAGAAACAAAGGTCCGGTATCTGACAACACACATGCAAAGAACAAAACTGTCAACATCTTATTTGTATTATTTTATATATAAATACTACTTATTTTAAGCTATTCCGGGAAATATAAGTATAAATTCATGCTGCAGTTTAAGGTCTTACAAAGGCTAAAGAAACTTAAATTGAAACAAAGAAAAAATACAGATTAGCATTTTGAAAATAAATAAAACCTTCCATTACATATACACAAACCCTCTTTATCACTT